TTCTGGTTTTTGTTTCCCTGTTTTATTAAGTATTTAAATTCTGAAATTTTTTTTATTATTTGGAAAGGACCAATTCTCAATTCTCAATTCTAATTTCTTCCTATTCAACCTATTGCCATCTTCTATGTATACCAGGTCTCCTGTATTAAACTTGTGATTCTTTCTATTCTTGTTAAATATCTTTTTGTTACATTCATGTGACTTCTTTGTTCTTTCTAGGGCTAGTTCTTTATTTCTTATCCAATTTTCCTTATCATTTTTTCTTTTTATTTCTTCGAGTAAAATGCTGGTGTTTGTTCCATCTAACAAATATTTAGGCGTAAAGCTGGTTTCTGTATGCTCTGGTTCATTATATTTATCCAAATATTCTTTAGCGATCGTTGTCCAAGCGCATTTTTTTCCTTTCTCGATTATCTTGCATCTTATATTATTTATTAGTGTCTGATTAAGTCTCTCTTTCAGACTGTTGGAGAAGGGCGGATTAACAGCCGTAAAAATAAGTTTCGTGTCATTTATATGGGAAATTCCTTAAATTCCTTTGTGTTTATTTCCGGGTATTGATCTGCGAGTTTCACTCCTATATTGTTGGTTTTTAGTATTTTACTTATCAGCTTGATGAAATCCGTTGCACTCTGCGTTTTTGATGTTATCATAATCGCGTATATTGTAAAATGTTCCACCAGCAGGTGAAGGTATCTTCTGTCGATCTTTGTCTTCTGAAGCCTCCAATTGTATCTATTGACCTATTTTCGAACTGTTCCATTGCCGGACTTAGTTGTGACATCCGCCCATACTTTCCTTGCCCTCTAAATTTGTTCTTAATGCATATTTCAAAGTTTTGGCAAACTTTTTTTATATTAGCAGTATAATCAGGAGATATCGAGTCTGTCATTTGTTTATTCCCTATATGACATCATTCAGAATGTATTTCTTTTATTAATTTTAAGCTTTGTTCGGTAGATAAAATTATTTTTTTTTGTTTCTAATTTTTTTATAGAATACTCCGTCTTTATCTATTAGTTTTTTTTTGGTCCTTTGCAATGTTCTATGTTCTTTTTGATCTGTTTTAATTTTTTTTTATTTCTATTAGATTAACTATTATTAATATTTCTTCCGTATTTTCGGATGGTTCCAGTACTGGATTTCTGCTTAGACTAATTGGTTTAGCGTTATCTTCTCCCGGAATATATTTTATTTGAAAGTCATATTGTGTTAGATAGTATTTTAATTCTCCAAGTTCTTCATCTGTTCCAGCTGTTATGTTCATATCTTCTAATGGTTTATGGTCAGTGAATATCGTGAATCTTCTTCCGATCAGCCGGTGTTGCCGATACTTTACCGCTTCCTTGATAGCCAGGCATTCTTAGTGAATTGCTGTTTTTCTGTTTTGTGAATTATTTAACTTTTTCAAAAAGTTAGCTATTGGCTTTTCTTCACCATCGCTCTGTATTTGTTTTATCGGTAAGTTCCTATCAAATATTTGCAACACTGGTTGAGAACTTAATAATTCCTTTATATTTGTGAAAGATTTTTCACATTACTCAGATTATATAAACTTTTCATTTTTCCTTAACAGTTTATGTAATGAGTCAAGTAGTATTATGCTTTTCGGTATGTATTCGTGGTAAAAATTTATTTGTCCAAGAAACTGTTTAATATTCTTTTGAGTTTTTGGAGTATGAAAATTGTCTATTGAGATTAGAATATCTTTAACTGGTCTTACAGTATTGTGCTCTATTATGTATCTGAGATATTTCACTGATTCTGTTGCAAATGTACATTTTTTAAATTTTATTCTGAAACCTTCGTTTATTATTGCCTTCATTTCTCTTTCTATGTGTTCTATATGTTCTTCGAATGATACTGAAAAAATTAATATGTCATCTATGTAATTCTCTGATAAGTCTTTTAGTTTGTGCTTTCTTACAATATTAGATAGTATTCTCTGGAAAATGGCTAGTGATGTTTTTAGTCCGAATTGTAGACATGTCCATTGGAAGTGTCCCTCTTGTGTAACGAATCTAGTTTTTTGTCTATCTTCAATACGTAATGGAATTGACCAGAAGGCGGAAATTATATCTAATGTAGTGATGTATTTACAGTTTCTTGCTTTTAATATTAAATCTTCTATGGAAATGGTGGAGCTTGTGTGAAACTATCTTGTTTAATTCGCGAAAATATATGCACAATCTTAATCGTTTGTTTTCATCTTTTTTGAGTGCCAGCGTTACTGGTACAGCAAACGGACAATAAGATTCTTCGACTAATTTATTTTCTAATAATTTTGCTACCTGATTTGCTATCTCTTTTTTATCTTCTATAGTGCATCTATATGGTCTCTTACTACAGTATTTATCAACCAGTAAGTCTTTTCAAGCTTCGTAGTCCGAAACGGTGCCTTCATCATATTTTTTTTTGCAAATATAAAATTATATTTTTCTATAAGTTTTTTTATCTTTGTTTTTTTTGTATTTTCTAGGTGATTTAGATCCACTCTAAATTCATTTTCATTCACATGTTCGTTAAAATTTATTTTAACTTCTTTTATTTCTTTCTTTCTATCCAATGTTTCATATTTTTTTTGTCTGTTTTTCTCTCTTTTGGGATATCTGTGAGTTTTCATCTTGAGATAGTTTGAATTTCTTTATCATATCCAGTAATGAAATCTTCCAAATTATTGCTCTTTGCAATAAATATATCGACATATTCCTCTTTTTCGAAAATTTTCATTTTAATGGTTTCCAAACCTATTGTTTATGTCTTACCATTGACCGCCTTTAAAAATATTTTGTTCTTATCGTTTGTCTCTTTTTCTTTTTTTTATTTTGACTAGTCTCGAATTTATTAGAGAGACTTGGGAAACTGGGTCATATGTTCCGTTTAATTCTAACTTTTCTTCTTATACAACCTTTACGTTGATGAATGGTGTGGTTATTCGTATTCTTGTTCCTCACATAGGTGTACTTCTATAATCAATTGCTCTTATTTATTCTAGCTTTTTTCCTATTATTTTTATACCAACTGGCGTACTCTGAATGATATCTAATACCTTTCTTTAGTTTTTCACAGTTCTTAAACGGTTTTCTTCTTCAAATTTCTTGTTATTATCTTGTCCTTCCTCTTTCTTTTTTTATAAATTGTTCTTACCACAAAATTTTCATAATTCTTTATCTCCTGTAATAGTTCTGCTGAGATTTGACATTTTTCTCTGTCTATTTTATCTCTTATAAATTCTGGTAATCCTGCTGCTATAAGCATTATCAGAGTCTTCGTACCGATATTGCTGTCCATATCTAGTAGTAGTTTTTTCTTCAAAACGTACTCCGTCAGTGTACCTTCCTTATATTTATAGGATGTTGCGTATATACTTGTATTCCATCCCTTGTCTGCAAATGATTTTAAGAATTATTATTTCCATTCGTTCCAACTGGCCTCCATTGTTAACTCTGTTAGTGTTGCTAACTGTCAGTCTAAACATGTCCTCTCAGGGAATAATATTAGGGTTTCAATTTATGTGTTATCATATTTAATTTCAAATCTTTGACATTCCCTTTCAAATGTCTACAACCATTTTTCTGCATTTGAATATCTACACACAAATTTTTCGATCATAAATTGTTCCGATAAACTCTTTAAATCTATTTGGTGTTCTATTTCCTATGTGGGTTCTACTATGTGTGTCTCCACCATTTCGTCTAGGTATAGATAATTATACATTAGATTGCCATTGTCATCGAAATACGTACTCTCCATTTCCGGTGTGCATATTGTCAATATTCTTTTCCTCTGGCATCTTTGATTGAGGCTCTTACATTCTTTTATAGTTTTCCGTTTTTATTAGTTCGCTGTGGTTACTTACAAATTTTCCATTACCTGGTAATATATATCTTTCTTTATCCTCAGTTGTGAGAGAGGTTATAGCTATCACATTTGTTTTTCTGTCGCTCGTTGACGCCGCACTTTTAAATGCGAATTGTAATTTTCTTTCCATTATTAACAAAATTTGTCATTTGATATTAATTTAGATTGCATATGGGAGGTGATTAACATAAATAAGTTCCTCTGTGAACACAGTAGTAAATCTTTTTTTGTTAATTGCCAGTTATTTACTATCTATATTCCTACCTGTGAACACAGAAACGACGAATTACGCTTATATTCACACTGCTTAAATCTTATATGTCACTCTTGTGCTACTTCTCCCGTCTACGGTCTATTTCTTCCTGCACGTTTCTCTCGCAAATCTTGACAGTTCGGTTTGTAGGTAAGAAAGGAATTTGTAGATAACGAAAACAATGGAAGGGCGGAACATGAGACGCGCGGCCAATCTACCTGAAGAAAGTATACTTTCCTTATCCATAATGGCCCGATCCCCACCACATGGTGCTCTGACCAGGTCCATTCATACCCGTTGATACACACTGTATGTATACACATACTCAAACCTAGAAGGAAGTAACACGTGGGCCAGGCTCCGTCTGAGCATCCCGGAACCTTGACCGAATTGGCCACTCTGGAATTACTTTCCTATGTAGCAAACCGTCCGCACTCCGGTCCACATCCACACCCGCATGCTTACTCTAACATCCTTCTTCTTGAGTCCGTTCCCTGCGCTTCTCAGCGTTCTCCTTTGTACATATAATCCGGCCTGCAAAGGTCTGGAATTCTGCTCATCCCTCTAGGATAGGATGGGAGGCCCTGACTATGACGGAAAGGGTAAGCTGCCCTTTCATCTACGTAACGATTAGTTCATTCCAGGCACTCAACCACGCGGGATTGTCGACCAGGGTGTGCTCTGCCGTATCTACACACCTTCCGTAGTGGAAGCAAGATGAGGAGGGAACCTCCCTTATCTTATTTAAGTACGTCGAGATATAGCCATGGCCGGTCATCAGCGGTGTGTAGTGAAATGTCGTTCCGAAAGAGAACGGCCACCAAATCCACGCTGATAACTATTCTGCAACAGCCGCCCTCGCACGGACTTTCGTTGCTGATGGTGCTCATACGAGCCCAAGTACCTCAGTCGTCCACGCATTCATGGCTTTCCGTCTGGCAAGAGCCCCCAATATTGCCTTAGTCCTCGGGGCAACAGGATCCGCAGTGTCCCTAACAACCGCATATACCTCCGCCAGCTCGGATATCGGACGAGGGTGAGAAATAATCCCCACATTCATTATAGGCTCGTGGAAAGAGACCGCTCCATAGGCACAACATACCCTGATCACAATCTTTCTCTGGAGGATCTGAACAGCCACACCGATCCTCACGTTCTCCACAACGGCATTCCACCACACAGGCGCAGCATAAAGGAGTACCGAGATGATCACGCCGCTGTAGAGGCGTTGCTTCCTTTCTCCCGTTTTATGAAGATTCGGGAGGAGCCTCCTAAGGATACCCTCCGTTTTAGGGAATAGCGTCTCGAAGTGGGGCCTAAACGACATTCAAACGGCATCTATTTCTATGCCCATTTATTTAACGCTGGCTCTAATATCTATGCAAATCTTTTTAAGGCATATTATAGGTTGCGGGACATTCCTGCGTCTACAGAAGACAGAGGATGGGAAGGCCATAATCTCCGTCTTGTGCGGCGCATGTTTAAGACGCAATTCACTGATCTCCTATAGCAAAACATCCACGTTACGCTCAGCGTCCATGATAGTCTGAAACAGCTCCCATCCCGCTGACAGGATGGTCGTGTTACCGGCATAGCAGACAACACAGGAGCCACCTGACATCGGGGTTTGGGAGACACTGACATAGGCAATGTTCCACGACGTAGGGCCTAAAATGGAACCGTATGGGACGCTACAATGCACCTGTCTTTCCACGGCGAATCCATGACTGTCTGTATGTTATGGTGCGATTTTTTAAATAACGCCTGATGATACTCAACAGATAGCGTGGAATGTATTTCCGTTCCAACGCCCTAACGATAACGGCTCACGGTAAGGAGTTGAAAGAGTTAGTGAAATCCAGACTCACTAGGTAAACCACTTTCCTCCCCCACGTCGATGCCTCAACAGATTTTCTAACATCGAGGACAGCATTTACAATGAATCTGCTCGTCTTAAATCCTTACTCTTATTACTTCAGGGTCTGAGACTACTCTAAATAGCTGTTGATCCTGCCAGCAACTACACGCTCGAATAGGTTCCCCAATTCGGCAATCACTCTTATGAATCTATATAGTCTCGTTGTGTCCGGCGGCGTGTCCCTTTTTTTTTGATCAGGACGAGCCTCGCTATCTAGCATGCTGTCGGGAAACATCGTGTCCTCAATCTTGCGGAGAAGTATTGCGCCAACCATATCCTACAGTCTGTCACCCTAGTAAGAACTTCCACAACCGTTATCTGTTCCAGGCCAGGATCCATCTTTCTTTTCCTTTCCAGGCGGCAGCCTAGACCTCCTCCGCAGTGATAGTCATATCTGTGAATGTAGGTTCCCGCCGCTCATCAATTCCAGGACCTCCTCAGAAGAGTTCAGAGAGGATACTCCCCAATACCTCATCTACCAAGGTTATAGTTTCTGGTGGTACATGAAGCCTAAGATTCCCAAGGACCAATTTATAAGGTCATCCCCATAGATCATCCTCTATTGAGTCTATCATGACCCTCTAGGAGGTCTCCTTGGATTTATTACTTACCCTAATCTGTTCCCCCGCACGTCCCTTCACGGGTCCAGGCACAGCACTATTTCCACCATGTTCTTCTTTTCTCTGGCTCCGGAAAATTTCATTACAGTATTCATCGCAACAAACCTAAGGTTAGCTATTTCGTCCGTCCTCCAGTGAGTACTTTTACTACATCGGGTTTGTACCCTCAACCAAAACAAAACCATGTTGCACACATAATCCAGAATAGACTGTGCCCTCTTCACAAGTTTGTTTGTACAATACGTACAGGCCGCATTCTACCAGCACATAGTTCCACGCGTCCACTCCACTGAAGAGTTAGCCGCATCTAATCTATCATATTGGTTACCCTACAGGGACTCAGCCTCAACCTCCTTCCAGTTCGAGAGGCGAAAGCCTCCTGCCGGTATGCCCCACATTAAATATATACCGCTCGAACCCTTTGGTCGAAAACACGTGGGATAGCCAACCCAGGTCAGCAGACCCAGGTTTATTCTGTTGGCCCAGACGCAGAGCAACTCACCCCTACGGTTACTCCAGCCTTCCTTCTCCCATCTGTTGAAGCGGGCGTCGATGTCGCCAAACAGCAGCGCTGGGAGAACGAGGATTGCTCCTAAGAGTTCTTCGAGCTCATCAAGTAGTTTGCAAAACATTTTAATTTTCTCGCTGGGAGGATAGTGAACCGAAACTACCAACAAGTCTCCCCATTTAACAGCTACGTAAGAAATCCCCGTCGAAGAAGTCTACAGGTTCTTCTACATTTCCTTCTTCTACAAGAAACGCGCAGTGTGAAGTCTCTCCTAGGGATGGAGGTCTCCTAGAAGCCTCTCAAATCCAAGAGGAACCCACCATAGATCTGCAATAACCGGAATCTCCACTTTGTCCACGCGCATGCACTGTGCTAGTAAGTCCTGCGCACGGCGAGCATGGTTGGTCGGCTTCCGATTGGCGTCTGCACAAACAGGACCCTCAGGTTTATCTGTGCATCTCTTGAACAGGTTACCCGGCTTCCCACGTATATAGCATAGGTCTGTCCTAGGCTTTATGGTGGGACACACTACATCACCATGTCCTCGTGCCAGGCACCTGTAGCATCTGTGGGGCTGCTGACGGAGTCCATGCACTCTCACTGTTGTCCAACCCACGCTTACCCTGCCCCTCTCCAGCAACGCCCGTATGATGGGAACCAGTGCCGAGACAGTGACCCTACCCTTTGCTTCATCTGCTTTCTTCACTGCGACAAACTCCATCTCTTCCCCCTTTACCTGCAGGCTTGCTCCCGCAAAGGTTCAGAGTAGTTTTCTCCCTCTTTTAATGAAGCCAGGGTAGATGATTTCACATCACATTTCTGAACGCGTCTCCCTTTCCGGCTAGTCACCTCATCAAAATTCTCTTACGGAATTAGTGCCTTACTCACTCTTACCTGTTTCTCAGGGGTTCGAGTTGTCTCAGCTCGGAATCTCGGGCCTTTGTGTGGTGCACCAGCTGAAGACGTGATCTAGTCGATGTATGCTGCCGCTGCTGTTGGTTGCTGGTGCTGCCGCTGCGGCTGGAAACTGCAGCCTCCATCAGCAACCTCACGGACTCTATTACCTGATATATTTCCGGAGTCGTTGTTTGGTTCCTCTCATCCAAGGGGTTTGCCGATGATTTCATCTAATCTTTTTTAAGATGGGCACTATCAATTGTCAACTCACTATTTCGCAGTACCAATGCTCTGAATTCTGCTTTTTACTGCGCCAAGCCTTCCCTGGTCGACGGAAGACCCCTGCTTATACTGCCTGTACTTCCCTGTCCCAGTTCCAAATCCAATGATCGCCCATATCTCCACTTCCTCTGAGGAGTAGATAAGGGGCCTCGTACGTTTGAGCGTCCTCTCCATGATTGGCGACTTCAAACCGGTGCGCTGCATTTTCTCCTCAACACTGGTGATCCTTTGCCACCCCTCCATATGGGTTTCTTTCCTTCCAAACCTTCCTGGCGCATTCGAAACATCCCACTCCAGGGCGACTACCTGTGGTGCTCTTCCTGATGCAATATCCAAAGTTCGGGCAAGCTTGTCTATCCTCTGGCTCCTAGCAGATACTGTTGACAACGGCGGGTGGCCTGCTCTTCCCCTACCGCCACCGCCGAGGCGTGGGTGTCCTCCCACGTCCGCTTATACATTTAGCTCCACTGTACGTTATTATAAAGTAGTAGTAGTCGAAGGCCAGCTCCCCAAATGAAAGGCCGGGAAAAGGACGGGAAAGGTTGGGATAGGTAGGGAGGTGTACTAGAGAGAAAGAGAGAGATAGAATGGAAAAGATATGACGAAAGTACAAAGAAAAAAATGGCCACACAATCCCATGCATTCACCATTCATAGAGTCCCTTTTAGTCGCTTCTTACGACAAGCGGTGTGCATTGAGGGAGTATTCTACTACCCCCTACCCACAGGGTCATGCATTACTTTCCCTAGACAAGGCGAAGTATTTCCAAATCGTACAATCGAATTGGTTTGAGAGGCACCAGCATAACTTTCCCTCGACTAGTCGGAACATTTCCAAGTCCAACTGTCGGATTGGTGTAGAAGACTCGTCTTGTAGTAATATTTCCAAGTGCGTAAGCAGCATTGGTTTAAGATCATTCAAATGAATTTCCAACAACTAATTGTTATTTTGCCTATACCGACATCCACATTGGTTCAAGAAAATCTTGTACAATTTTCCTTCGACTATTCGTCATAATTCAAATTTCTGTAGCTGCATCGGTTTGAGTGGCACTTGCATTACATTCCCCGACTAGACTGAAAATTTCCTACAGAAGGGGCAGCATTTCTTCGAATGGCTATCGAATAACTGTCCCGGAATAGTGGAAATACTTCCCAGTACGCCCGTCGGACTAGATCTAGATACAATCGCTCAAATTACCCTCGAGTAGTCGTAATATTTCCAAGTCCAATAGATGCATTAGTTAGAGAATAACACGCATAACTTTCCCTCGACAAATCGGGATATACCCAATTCCGAATGTTTATTGGTTTCAATGTACCTTGCATAACACTCCCTCGACTAGTCGGATATTTCTATGTCCGTTAGCTGCATTAGTTTTAGAGTTACTCTCATATCCTTCAATCGAATGATAGGAATATTTCCATGTCTGACCATTGCATTATATCTAGAATCATTCCCATAACTCTCCCCCGACTTGTAGTAATATTACGAATTCCGACTGGTGAATTGATTCGAGAAACACTTGAATAAATATCCACCGACTAAAAGGGATTTTTCGATTCCGACCTTCGCATTCATTCCAAAAAGCACGCGTAACATTCCCTCGGCTGGTCGTAATATTGCCAATTCCAATAGCTGCATTTGTTCGAAAGGCACTCGCATAATTTTCCCAAACAGGTAGAAATATTTCCAAATCCGGCAGTCGGATTAAATGTAGAATCACTCGCATAACTTTTCCACGACAAGTTGGAATATTTCCAAGGCCGACAGCCGAATTTGTTCGAGGGGTACGCGTATATTATTCCCTGACTCGTCAGAATAGTTCCAAATCCAATAGCCTTATTTGACCGTGATGCTCTCGCATAGCTTTTACCGTCAAGTAGGATTATTTCCACGTCCAACAGACGCATCGTGAGACGCATAGTGAGGCACTCGCATATCTATTCATCGACTTGTCCGAATGTCTTCAAGACCGACAGCTGCATTGCATCGAGATGCACTCGCATAACTTACCCTCCGCTAGTCGGTAGATTTCAAGGTCCAACAGGCATATTTGTTCGTGAGGCACCGGCATATATCTCTACCGTCTAGTCGGAATA